CCCCCCCGCGGGCCGGCTGTCGGTTCCCACACAGCACGCCGCCTGCAGGAGTAGGGCGACGCGTCGCGAGGGGGGCACATGGCGCCTCAGGAATCAGCGCGCGGATAGCGCACAGGTGCGCGGCGCGAGAGGCGAGAGGCGAGAGGCGAGAAGCCTGAGCGTTGTCAATAATAGTTTTTAGACACCATCTGTCTCATACAACAATAAAAAAGGTCTCACGTGATTCGATGTCTCCTTCTTTCTGTTAACTGAAAGTACCAAGTACCAAGTAAAAATAAAAGACTACAGCCATACTTGTACTGGTTATTCGAAAGAATAGTTTAAAACTGTACTTTCAGTGCCATACACCCACACCCAAAAGTTGACAATAAAATGTTAGTGTCCACTGGATCGGTCTCATGAAACCAGTGACAGATCTATTGAAATTTGAAACCTATTTATGTTAATTGAATGAAATAAAATTGAACGACGAGATGGTTGGAATGTCAGGTGCAAAGGTGCAAGTAATATGCGGTTGAAGATGCTGCCGGCAGTGCTTTTAGCCATTTAACTGTAGTTTTAATGTACATTTTTTTGACATCGGCTAGGCCTACATTTTTGGCACTCGTTTTTTGACATCGGCTAGGCCTACATTTTTGGCACTCGCTTTTACGTCCGGCCCGGCCAGTATGCCATTTTCGCGACGGTCAGATCGTGTCGAGCCTCGTGTGGGTCCATCCCGTCCACGTCCGCACGGTCCACCCACACGCACCACTGCGCGCAGCCCGGGACACTTCCACGAAGGCAACAGAGAGGGGTCCATCTTACTGAGGGGTGCCTCTTGCTCTGCCCTTCGGGCCCGGCGGCGGCCCGGCGGCGGCCCGGCGGCGGCGTGTGGGTGGAGTGGACCTCTCCCGCACGGGCAGAGGAGGAGGGTCAGGAAAGGGCGTAACAGAGTGCAGCGCGCCGGCGATAAACGCGATTTCCCATCAATGTCCGCCGTCAAGAGGGCAGGGCGTCGGGGCGCCGCGCAAGCACACACACACACACACTTCGCAGCCTCTCCTCGGTGCAGCGGGCGTGGCGGCGGGGCGCCAGGCGGCGAGGGGGCGGAGGGAGGAGAGGGTTCGGTTCTCTGCTCGGCCCCGCCAAACCGGGCCGGCGGCGGCGGCGACCCCGGCGCTGAGGGTCAGGCCGTCGGCAAGGTAAAAGCAGGCCCCGGAGGTCTCCTCCCCCGCGCCGGCCGGTCGCAAGGGCGGGGTAAGGAGGCGGGGTGAGGAGGGGGCGGGCCCGGCGCCGGGCTAAAAGCCCGCGTAACGCGGGTGGTTGCTCTGGCCGGCTCGTGCTCGCCACACCCCCGCACCAGAGAGAGGAACAAGACGCGCGGCATCGCACGGCGCGGCGGGCTCATCTCCGACACTCCCTCTCTTTTTCCCTCTTTCTCTCCCAGATCTAATTAATTATCGGATAATCACCGGCCCATTACTGCAATTACCTGGCGGCGCAGCGCCGCGCGCGGCAGCAGCCCGGCCCGGCTCAGCTCGGCTCGCGAAGCAGAGAGAGAGACGAGAGAGATTAACGAGACGATTAAGCCGCAGATTTACGAAAAAAGAGCAAACATCAAGCAGAGAAAAATAAATACAATGTGATAATAAATTAAATAATAATGATGATGATGATGGCAGGAATAATGAAAACGAGTTAATCAAGTTTTGATTCCAAGGCCGGCCCGCGTCATGTCACAGTCGTCATCACGTCACGGTTTTATTCCCCTGGCGTCGTGACGCTTCGTGACGCACTGCGTTCATCTTGAGCGGCGGAGCGTCCTGGCCGCGGGGGGCGGGAGAAGGAGAGGGGGGGGGGAGGATTGGTGCCCGCGAGGTGGTTCCCACGGCGAGGGCCGAGGGGCAGTGCGGTCTGGCTGCGCTCGGGGCGGCGGCGCTAGCTCGGAGTGCCCCCCCCCCCCCGGTCCCCCTGGCGGGCCCAGGGGCGGCGCTGCACGGCCTCCTCCTCCTCCCCCGGCGGTGGGCACCTTGAGGAGGCCTACAGGGGGGCGGCGGCGGCGGGGCCCACGGGGTCGCACACACCGCCCGCCCCGCCACGCCCCAACTAATTGTACGTTGAACCCGTCTGCAGGGTCTCTCCGTCGTCCGCGTAAGCCCGACCGTCGTCGGCACCTCCTCCACACCGCATCCCCTCTACCTCCTTCAGCCCCCTCCCCTGCCCCCTCTCTCTCACTCCCTCACACACACCTAGAGATGCGGATAGGCAAGTGCAATCAATGTATTGCTTGCGAGTGAGACAGACCGGAGGAGACAGACGTACGTTACTTTAGCGGCGCGGTGTCCACCTCATCTCTCAAACATTTTGGCGGAGTGGAGTGCAGTGGGGCCCGTGGGGTCCCGCCTTGGTTCCCCGCCCCGCCCACAGCGCCAGCCGCCCTTTAAACGTGTGTGTACCTTCCCGGAGGCCGGTGTTTGCCCCAAGTGAGAGGGGAGGAGAGAGGGTTGACCTAGCGGCCCAGAATCATGTCCCTCCATGCCACCGCCGGCCGCTTCGCTTGTTAACTTTTTCATGAAAATATGCTCTCCAGAAGGCTAGAAGCATTTCCTGCTTTCAAAATAAAAATATAATAACCCCTAGAAGGCAGTTTCTCATTTTTCCTCCCCGCCAAAAAATCTTACTGTTCAAGTAATACTCTCTACGAATTTATCGCAGGCGCTGCTGCCGCAGCAGCCGCAGACAGCGCCGCTCATTGCAACATAAATCGTGAGCCCCGCGCGCAAAATGAAGCTGGTAATAAATGCAGAGGGACGCGGGGATGGCCTTCAGCTCGTGCAGCCCATCACCTGTGATCATAGATGATGCCTCCCCCCC